GAAGTAATTAGTATATGCAGGAGCGAATAGAGCACCAGAAGTAATTAGTATGCAGGAGCGTTGGGAAACATGGGGGTGTATTTGAATCAATCAGTAATACAAGTTCATTTACACATTGGTTTCCATAATGAACGGTTCAAACAAGAAGCTTCATCTGATAGAAATAATATACGCCAAGGTCATTGCACATAGCATTGAAGGGAAATTTAGCCTGTTTTGTTGCGGGTGTAAAATCTGTGACCAGGACTGCTTAATGTTGGATGAGTTTGAAAAATGGGAGATGTATGGTCTTGATGCTATAGGGGAAGCCGGAACTAATTACGCCGTCTGGCGTGAATTTAGTAATGTTATTGAAATCCTGTTCCGTTTGAAAAATATTTCACGGAACACTTGTTGAGCTTGGAAGAAAACCCTGATCTTGTGCTGATAGAATCATTATTTCAAGAATACCAAGACAATCAATCATTAATCGAAGTTATATGCAATTTGTCTAATCCTAAAGCAGATCCACTGGAACCTGTTGCAGAGCGCCTCTTCAGCAGTCCCCCTACCTTTATATATTATGTTAGAGGAAAGAAAGAGAGGTTCGAGAGTAAGGAACAAAATGAACAAAAGGCATATCAGAATTATCTCAAAGATAAACTTCGAGAACATTTTAATAATTTGTGAAATATACTTTTTGTTAATAAACAATTTTTAAAAAAATATATATATATTGTTTTTAAACTATGAACCGTTTAATGTTCTGCGCTCCAGTAGCTGAGATATCCCAAAATGGCTTGATATTCAGGAAAGTCTGACTTAAACTTCAAGTCTTTTAGGAATTCGGCGGTTGTTTCGGGGTCTTTGGTTAGATTTTTGAAATGTTGAATGACATGTTCATGAAGGTCTAGTTTCATGACGCGTATAGCTTCGGTGAATTGTTTCGAAACCGTTTGATGTTCGATCACTCGCTTTACTGCTTCCGATCCATGCATTATCCACCCCTCTTCTTCGGACATCATGAGGCAATCATGTCTTTTCTGACTTGGATGATTTACTTCACAACCGCAGCATTTTTCTTTTCGAAGTTTATGGACTTGGCAGTCAACGGCTTCCGAAAAGATAGCATTCATTAGATTACACAGATTTCTGATTTCCCAAGGCACAACTTTGTCTACATTCAGACACTTTGCCCAGAATACTTGCTCACACGAGTTCATTTTGACTGTGTATAGTGACGATTTGCTTTATATAGTATGGTGTACGTACACCACTACATCATGTCCATCCCTGATTGGTTGATGCGTACGAATATAAATTAGGTGTACGTACACGGTGTACGTACACCAATTACGTCATAATCATGCACATCCCTGATTGGTTAGCTGTGTTGGATGGATAGTATAAATAGAGGAGACGGGCGATTATCGTTATTGTGCTCATAGTTTTCACTTAGGGAAGTTACTTTAAATATACTGTTTACATCGAAAGAGCTTTGGTGGATATTTTATTTGACAACTAGCTTGTTTTCCAGGTAAATGTTTATATTTACTTAAAGGGTATTTGTGTAATAATTTTGTTTGAGGGAATCGTTTTTTGGTTTAGATATGGAAAGAAAGATTAAAGAATGTCAGACGATTTAATAGCAGAGGAGCTTTTGGCTTTGGAAAGTCAAAGCATATTCAATGAACTGGAAGAACATTTAGTGTTTGAGAAGAGAATGGAGATTTTTCTGCGGATAAAGGAATGGCGTTTGGAAAACGCACGGTTAGGACTAGTACAGGATCTTACAGATACCTGGACGCCCGGACAACGTGAAAGCTTTCTACGTAATTGGCAAGATTAAGAGCTTCCGATGCAGATTAATCGGGGTGAGAAAAGATTATATGAGGAGATGAGCAGCGATGATGATGAACCACAAGTTGGTCGCAGACAGAAAAGATCTTTTGAAGAGACGAGCAACGTTGATAATGAACCTGGACAAGAAGGGTCTTATGAGAACGAGGTTAGCGACAACGTTTTTACGGTACAGAGTGTGAAACAAGTGAATGTGAAAAAGTTTAAAACCACGGGTATGGATTATCATATTCAATTTACGAATGCATTTGTGAATGTGGAGCTTTCCGAATATCATGAAAGGCTGCATGAAATATTTCAAGGCTTGCTTAATGAAGTTACGCAGGGCGTTCCTCCTCATGACCAAGTACGTTTCGTCTTGCATTCACCGCAACTGGAAAATCCTATTTCATTTCCGTTCATGCCTCGTGAACGTCTCACTACAGAACATGTGTTGGCAGAGTTTGAACGTGTGATCCAATCCAATCGCCATTTTCATCTCAACGATAGTGTGGATGTTCATGTGGAAATGCCCCACGGTGGTACAGGTATGAAGCGAGCTGAGATTAATTTGGAAAATCATTTAATGAAGAAATGCTCAATCATACGGATCTGGAACAATGATCAACTTCGTTTGGCGAGGGCTTTGGTCGTTGCTAAAGCCAAAATTGATAACGATCCCCAGTATACGAGCATTGTTGATCATCGGAGGGCTATGCAAACCCGTTTGGCTCGTGAATTACATAAAAAAGCTGCCGTCTCTTTGGGTCCTTGCGGTTTGGATGAAGTCAAGCGGTTTCAGACGTACCTTTCCGATTATCAAATCAATATTGTGTCCAAAGATCATCAGAACGCTCTTATTTATATTGGTCCCGATCAAGAGAAGAGAATTTATCTGTTCCTTTACGATAATCATTACGACGTCATTACCAAAATGCCAGGGGTTTTCGCTCGTAAAAAGTATTGCCATACATGCAAGAAAGCTTATGATCATCGAGAAGATTACCTATGCCCGAATGCCTGTCCATGTTGTCGTTTTCCCGACTGTCCCGTTGAGTCCTGGGTTCGCTGCAATGACTGTAACCGAATGTTCAAAAGTCAAGCATGTTTTGATCGGCATAAACAGTCTAGTAACAAATCGATCTGTGCGACGATGGTTAAGTGCTCGGAGTGTCATAGAATTATCAAGCGCTATAAAAGAGATTCGCATCATTGCGGTATGACAAAGTGCCCAATATGTAACGAGTATACCCGGCCTGGCAACCATCAATGTTACATGCAACCCGTGGAAAAACGAAACGAAAGTTTATCGGACAGTGACGATTCGTCTGAGCACCCTGAGGATGATGTTACGGAAGGCGGGTACGACCAAATGTTATTCTTTGATTTCGAGTGTCGTCAGGAAAATGGAAATCATGAATGAACCCAATTTATGCGTGATTCAGAACGAAGCTGGTGACGAATGGGTATTTGAAGGGGATAACACATGGAACGAGTTTTGTGAATGGTTATTTCAAAAAGAACGGTCAAACAGTGTGGTGATGGCCCATAATTTCCAGGGGTACGACAGTTACTTTATTCTGCAATACTTACGGGAGAACGGTGTCAAGTACGATGTCATCGTGCGCGGTGCCAAAGTGCTTTCCTTATCTGTGGGCATGTTTAAGATCAAATTTATCGATTCCCTGAACTTTATCCCGATGAGATTAGCAGATTTTCCAAAAACCTTTGGCATAGACGAGCTGGCAAAAGGGTACTTTCCGCATCTTTTCAACAAGAAAGAAAACGAAAATTATGTGGGACCGATCCCACCCACTCCCTACTACAATCCGAACGGAATGAGTCCTGCAGCGGAAACGTTTTTACGTTGGCATAAGAATTTGAAAGACAATGATTACGTGTTCAACTTCCAAGAGGAAATTCTCGCGTATTGTCGTTCCGATGTGGATATTCTGCGACGCTGTTGCTTGGAATTTCGCTAACTGTTCCGTGACGTTACTAAAATCGATCCCTTTGAGAAATGCCTTACCATTGCGTCCGCGTGTAATCTAGTGTATCGGACCAATTACCTTGAAGAGAACACCATTGCCATCATCCCACCACGTGGTTACTGTCCCGAAAACAAACGGTCCCTTCTTGCACAAAAATGGTTATCGTATACGGCCGAACAAAACAAGATCTACATACAACATGCTCGCAAATGCGGAGAGAAACGTGTTGGTCCGTATTTGCTGGACGGTTATCATGAAGAAACCCGCACGGCCTATGAAGTCCATGGATGTTTCTGGCATGGTAAGTGTTTGAATAAACGCCTCCCTCGTATAAACGCCCCCTTAGAATAGTATTTTAGAATAGTATTTTTGTTTATTTCTTACAGGATGTATAAACTGTTACGCTCGTGATACAATGAACCCTGTCAAAGGTAAAACCATGCACGATCTTCATCAAAAAACCGTGGAAAAGATACAGTATTTGAAAAATCAAGGCTACAACGTGGTAGAAGTTTGGGAATGTAGAATCAATCGGGAATTGGCAGATAATGAAGACATGAAATATTACTTTGATCAGTATGATGGAGTCGATCCCTTGGAACCTCGTGATGCCCTATACGGAGGACGAACCAACACGTCGAGACTTTACCATGAATGTAATGATGATGAGAAAATAAGGTAGGGAGAAAACATTTCTGACATTATGTTTTACTACGTCATGTATGACGTCATGTCTTACGTCATTCTAGATATGTGGATTTTACAAGCCTTTATCCCTGGTGCAATAAAATGACGCGAACGGTTGTGGGACATCCGCGCATCATCACCGATAACTTTGACGGCATTTCCACCTATTTTGGTCTGGTCAAATGCACAGTGCTTCCACCTCGAGGTTTGTTCCACCCTGTTCTTCCTTATCGCACCCAGGGCAAGTTGATGTTTGCGCTTTGCATGACCTGTGCCGATGCCTGTAGCCAGACTACCTGCAGCCATGCCAACCGTGAAAGAGCCATTCAGGGTACATGGTGTAGCGTGGAGCTGGAGAAAGCGCTGGAGAAAGGTTATCAAATCGTACAGATTCATGAAGTGTGGCACTTTCCCGAAACCTCGGATGACCTGTTCAAGGACTATATTGACACATTCCTGAAAATTAAACAGGAGGCGAGTGGGTACCTGAAAGATAGTGTCACCGAAGAGCAGAGGCAGCACTACGTGGACGAGTACCTTGAAAAGTCGGGAATCCATTTAGACCCCCACAAGATCGAATACAATCCTGGATTACGTGCTCTGGCTAAACTGATGTTGAATTCGTTCTGGGGTGAGTACTATGCTTTCATCGATATATTTTCGCTACATGATACTTAACAGTTTCTCCGTTTAGGTAAATTTGCACAACGACCCAACATGGTTAAAACCGACCAGATAAAAGATCCACAAGTATTCTTTGACTACCTCACCTCTGATGAGATCAACGTGCTTGATGCCAATTTAGTGAGTGACGACATCATCGAAATCCGATACGAGTATACAGACAATTTTATCAAACCCGATGCGAAAACCAACGTGGTCATTGCTGCTTTCATCACCGCCTATGACCGTCTCAAGCTTTACGGCGTGCTGGACATGTTGCAAGAGAGAGTGATGTATTACGATACCGACTCAGTGATTTTTGTCAGCAAACTCAACGAACGCGAAACTCCCTGGGGCAACCATCTCGACGAATTAACCGATGAATTAGGAGGCGAATACATTAATGTGTTTGCGTCAGGCGGTCCGAATATTATTGCTACCGTTATTGCTACCGTACGAATAGTGGTAAAGTTGAGACCAATGTGCGTGGAATCACTCTAGACTGCACGGCGAGGCAAAAAGTGAACTTCGAAGTGATTCGTGGATTGGTGTATTTACATGCTAAATGTTAAGTGACGGGGCAAGTGTCTGTGGACATTCCGTTTAGAATTACAAGAAATACCCGAACCAAAGAAATTGAAACGAAGCGCATGAAAAAGGACTACAGAATAGTTTATAATAAACGTGTAATTATGCATGATTACAAAACATTACCTTATGGGTACTAATAAGAATTGAAATAAATATTTTTACAAAGATGGTTTGATCTCTGTGTTAATTTTTAATGTTCAGTTTGTGGTAATGATCCAGATTCACCCCCGTTTCCTTCTCCAGTGCATCGACCTGCTTTTCGTTTTTTCTAGCCATGTCCCACATCATCATTTCTCTAGCGTTCATCTGGCAGGTACAGGTGTTCCCCTGGGGGGCCCGAGGTACCGTTATACCTGTTAATGTTTCCAGTATGATTTGTGTCAACATAATGGAGTGCAGCGTCGCATTGTCAATAAGTGTTGCTGGTATTATATTCTTCTCCATTAAAAGTTTCATCAAATCCAGAGTTGCCAAATTTCCCTCTTGTGAAATAATTTTGTCCGAGAGCCAGTGAGTGACAATGTTCCTCCAAGTCATGTTTGCTTCAAATGATTAGGGAACTAAAGAGCCAGTATCCTTTATAGGTTTTGATTACGGAATAATATATAAGTTACAATAACTGAAAGATCACGCGTTTCAATGCTCGCCTGTGTTTCGCGCAAAAGATAGTTTTCCAATCGTCCGCCGTATACTCAATCAATTCGAAATCATGTACTTTCATATCACTCAAACTTTCATATCACTCAAACTTTCAGTAAAAGCCTCCATCACTTTTGTTTCCGAAGCCTTTTCCAGAGCATGATCAAAGTATAGACATAACCGTTCGTCTCTTTCCATCGTAAGACACTGATGATGTGTCTGGGACAGATGCTCTGTCATGCAACCGTTACAATTTTCAGCAACGAGCTGGGAGATGATAGGAGCGATTTCTTCTGCGGAAACTTTTAGAAGTTTTTTGACGATACGTTTCTGGCGGTAATAGAAAATAAGTTCCCTATTGTCGATATCGATAGGTTTAGACATGTTTACTCTTTGCCTGATCGAGAGCAATGAATGTTCCTAACAATGGAAAAAACCATTTATACACGCATGTACCTTAGGAACCTTTTCATATTAGAGTGTACGTCATGGGACACTCTGCTAGTAAAAATCCGAAGGTCAATAAAGATCATAATAAACAGAAAATGTTTAGAATCGGTATAAGCGCAGGGAGAAATGATCTTAATCTCGAGGGGCATGTACAAGTGGGATACTGTAGTAAAACCGTCAAGAATTACAACCCCATTGAAAATACGAAGCTTCAGGAGGATAGTATTCAAAACGTTGAAGAATTAAAGGATTCCGTCATTTCACGTGTGAACATGGACGACTACTTATCCAGCGTTTATTACGATCCGAAAAGGTCGGGAGGATTTGGCGGAGTGGATCGTTTGTACCAAGATGTTAAAGATGAGGGAAAGTTTAAAATCAGTCGAAAGGAAATCAAGGAATGGTTAATGAAACAGGACGCATACAGTTTGCACAAACCCATGCGCCGCCACTTTAAATGAAACCGTGTCATTGTGGGGGGTATTGATCAACAATGGCAAATGGATTTGGCGGACATGCAGAAGTTTAACGATGGTTATCGTTATTTACTTGTCTGCATTGATGTCTTTTCCAAGTGTGCATGGATAGTCCCGTTGAAAAACATGACAGGTCCTACACTGGTCGAAGCTTTCAAGGTCATTTTAACATCTGGACGCAAGCCCGAAAAGATCACGACCGATCAAGGAACAGAATTTCTAAACAAACATTTCCGAGCATTGATGAAAGAAGACATCAAACTGTACAATACATACAATGAAACGAAAGCTTCTATCGTGGAACGTCTGATTCGTACTTTAAAGACCAAAATGTGGCGCTATTTTACAGCAAAGAAAACCATGCGATACGTAGACATTTTACCCAATCTGGTCTATTCTTACAATCACAGTGTTCACCGTAGCATCAGGACAAGACCCATGGACGTTACTGCTGGGAACGAGAAGGAAGTGTGGCACACCCTGTATGATGAGGATAACGTAGCAAAAAATGTAAAGTACAAGTTCAAGATCAGCAATCAAGTGAGAATTAGCAAGATGAAACGAACATTTGAAAAGGGATACTTGCCGAATTTCTCCAAAGAGATCTTTACAATAAGCAAACAAATACCTCGTGATCCTCCAGTGTACAAACTAAAGGATCTGGACGGTGAAGAACTCAAAGGAACATTTTACGAGAAAGAGTTGCAAAAGATCATTAAGGAAGATGACGTCTACGAAATTGAGAAGATCTTGAAGAAACGTGGACGAGGCAATAATGTACATTATCTTGTAAAATGGTTGGGGTACCCCAATAAATTTAATTTGTGGGTACCCGCTTCTGAAATAAATAAGATTTAAACCGTTGAACATGTGCTGTTCGTTTGTTATTCTCATCGGGGATTCATAATGAGCGGAACACACTTTTACCTCACACTTCCGAGCAATGCGTCCCTGGACGTTTTTCCCAATAACAAAACGACCGAATATCGTGTAAAATTACCGCAACCCATTGATTTGGATGGTAATTGGGAAGTCGGACTGTACTCTATTTCCTATCCCTACACGTGGTATACCCTGCGGGATATTAGTGCGGACACTCACTTCCTTTATTTGAGTTCTACCGATAGATGGATATCATCTGCGGCCATAAAGTACGGACATTACGAAACTATGGAAGAGTTCACTAGGTATGAACGATGCTCTGAAACAAGAGATCGGTAATAATACTGACATATATCTGACATACGGTGCCTTAACGGGAAAAGTGACCGTTCACTTGAAACCCAAATGCAAACTTTTTGTATTCGACAAATTGTCCCTTATCCTGGGATTCGGTGGAAATAGGGTGAAAATTAACAAAACGGGCGAAAGTCCTCACGTAGTAGATTTAAATATCTTTTCGACGATCTACACATACTGCAATATCGTTCAACCGCAGATCGTTGGAGATACGAGTGCGCAATTACTTCGAAGCATTCCCGTCGAAGGAAAGTATGGTGATATCGTTACGAAAACGTTTACCAACATACAATACGTGCCTGTCCAAACGAAATCCTTCGGAGACGTGAAAATTCTTTTAAGGAACGACACAGGCGATCCCGTACCATTCGAACGTGGGAATGTCATAGAGACACTACATTTCAGACAGCACACTTATTTTACCTGAGAGAATGAATAATCCTTACGTACGTTATTACCTGGATCAACAGCAAGGGCGTGGCATGCCAGTGTTCAGAGGCAGCCCCTGGCAGGTGGGGTACGGGCTGGGAGGACTGTTCCGTACTCTTGCAAGAAAAGCCATGCCTCTGATTAAAAGTGGAGCGAAAGCTCTTGGAAACATTGCCCTGAAAAGTGGGACAGACTTTGTGGGCGATGTCCTGGCAGGTAGAAACGTGAAATCAGCAGCAAAAGCACGAACCATACAGTCCACCAACATTGCAAAAAGAAAAGATATTGATACACTAAGGAGTCAAACGGGGAGCGGAAAACGGAAGCGCTCAAGAAGTGTAAAGCGTTCAAGAAGTGCAAAGCGAACAGCTAAAAAGAGAAAAGTTTCGATAGCTGCAGTCAGATGCAGTCAGAGCAAGAAACGGAAAACAGTTAAAAAGAGAAAGGCATCGACATCTGCAGCCAGACGCAAACAGACCAAGAGACGGAAAACAGCTCAAGACATATTTGGTTAAGATCATGAACCTCATACATTCCAAATCGCAAGAATGCACAAAAAGCGAACTCGATCTATTCTCTGTGCTCCCAACACAAATCAGTTTAGAAAAAGGACATTGGGTAGATCATCAACCCGTTTCCAGTGTAGCTGATGGTGGTGTCATTACGTTCCTGTCTCCGGGCACTGAAGATTATATGGACCTTGCTAGAACGATTCTTGTGGTGAGAGCGAAAGTGACAAAAGCCAATGGCACGAATCTCGGAGCAGCCGAAAAGGTATGGTGTTTTTCATATTGAATACGGCGTTTTCAAATATTAATTTCCTTCTAATCCGTTTAAGGTTGGAGTGGTGAACAATTTCCTCCACAGCCTGTTCAAACAGGTGGATGTCTTTTTGAAAGGGAAACGAGTCACTCAGGCTACCGGAACCTATGCGTACCGTGCTTACTTGGAAACCCTTCTGAATTACGGTCCCTCTGCAAAAGATTCACAGCTCACTGCTGCGTTGTATTACAAAGACACTGCAGGAAAAATGGATGTCGCGGATCCTACGGTGGCAGGTGGTAATGGCAACGCTGGTCTCAGAGCAAGATACGTTTTCAGCAAAGCAAGTGGAACTGTTGAAATGACTGGCCCCATATTCAGCGACATATTCATGTCCAAACGTCTCCTGTTGAGCTACGTAGATCTAAAAATTATTTTAAATCGAAGCAGCGACGAGTTCTGTTTGATGGCCTCCGAAGACGATGCTGATTTCCGCGCGAAACTCACTGATGCTTATCTCAGGATACGTAAAGTGAAAGTCAATCCTAGCATTTCCGTGGCTCATGAAATAGCTCTGAAAAAGGGACCTGCTATCTATCCTATCCGTCGTGTCGAATGCAAGAGCTTCATCGTTCCCGCTGGAAATCCCTCCCTAAGGAAGGATAACCTTTTCAATGGACTGGTGCCAAAAACATTTGTCTTTGGTATAGTCGAAAGCGACGCGTTCAATGGTGCCTTAAAAAAGAATCCGTACAACTTCCAACATTTCAGCGTGTCCTCCATTGGAATAACCGTCAACAGAGAAGAAATGCCATTTAAACCCTTGCAGCTTTCCTATGGCGCAGCACCTAAATACATCGAAGCATTCACCACACTGTTCTCTGGTACGGGGAAAATGTATCACAACACAGGAAACGATATATCCCGAGAAGAATTTCCAGAAGGTTACGCCGTGTACGCCTTTGATTTAACACCGGACATGTGTGGAGACTCTCCTCATTTTAACGCTGTGCAGGGAATTTGGGAATTGGGCCATTGATATTCAGTTTTCCGCAGCGCCTGCAAATGCTGTGAGTCTCGTATGCTACGGAGAGTTTGAGAATACCGTGCACATTGATTCCGAAAGAAACGTTGTCTACAATTACTCGGGATGAATACTGCCCAGATAACTCATGCCCTGGAACAAGATCCCGTAACAAGCAAGAAGTTTTGCAGCGTGTTCCCTAGCGACAAGCTGCCTTGGACGATAGACAGATATCCGTGTGGATTCGTTGCGAACACTGATACGAGCAGCGAGCCCGGAACCCATTGGGTCGCCTTCTACTTTCCATCGGAAGAGAAGGGAGAATTCTTTGACAGTTACGGGCATGCACCCGAGTACTACAGGAAATCATTTGGAGACTTTTTAAAGTCTCGCACATGAGATTTTAATAGACGTAAATTGCAAAGTGCCTGGTCGGATGTATGTGGCCAGTATTGCATATTTTACCTTAGCCACAGAGCAAGAGGTCAGAGCATGAGTAATATCGTACATTTATTTAACAATGATACGACTTTAAATGATACGAAAGTATCCCATTTTGTTAAGAGCCATTTTAAGGTATTGTTAAAACATTCCAATGTTAACCTAAACCAGTTCAGTAAAAAGATGTTTTCAATAAAATTGTTGTAAAAAACTATAGTTTTTGTTTGTTTTTTTGTTTTTTTTTGTTGTTGTTTTTTTGTTTTTTATTCTGCGCATGCGTACAAACTCATGTCCCACACGCGAACCGTCAATAAAAATACTGCCCCAAAGAACAGGCGTCAATACAAAGATGGTTTCAAAAATTTTTATTAATACGTGCAAACAGTTACAACATTTTTAATAATTAAGCCACTGTTTTGGTTTCGCCGTCTGTCTTCCGAGTAAACCACGGATATATTTTGCGGGACTTACACGTGGTGATGTTGGGGGTGGCGGTGTCCGAAAAACAACCTCTTCCGCGCCAGACGGACTCCCCCTTTGAACCTGATTCCATCTCTCGGTGTTCCTTGCAATATCCCTGGGTACATTAATCTTTGACAGCCCGCGAAAGAATTCCTGCGCTCCCTTGGGATTAAAATTCTTACGTGCCCGCATAGCATCACTGACCAAATCCGATATATTTGAATCAGGAATCTCTTTGCCGTCCACTCTAACTTGCCCAGATTCGTCCCAGGAAAACACGTCGGGTCTTGCCCTCAAACGTGTCAAAAGAGTTGCTGCTTTCGGGCGTAAGGTTACAGGTAAATGACCAATCACATCCGCGTCAGATAAAGATGCTCCCCCTCTGGACTTCTGTTCCGTATCCGGTGCAATCCGGACTGTAGGTACCTGATCGTCCTTCTGCCGCCTCAAACTCAGATAACTTTCCATGTTCGCATTGTACAATTTCTGTTTTTCGGCATTGGATATGCCTGTACTCCGAAGGATCTCTGACATCGCCGTATCCTGATGCATCATATTAGATGTAATTGGGGAGGTTTCAATCTTTTGTTTCTGCTCATAACGATTAATCACGTCCTCCGGGACCAATACCATGCGTTTCGCATGCTTCATACCAGTAAACTTCCGACTACACTCAACACTGGTGGTAAGAGAGCCAATAATAAGTTTCCACCTTTTTGATTAAGGCGTTGTTTTTCCGTTTTCTCGACACTTTCTTGCTGGCCAGATCACGGAGATGTGTCCTGTAACACGCTAAACGCCGCTTCTGACGAGGTGATAATGGGATGACACCCTTAAGCAAATTCAAGGAACACTCGCAGATAGCCATAATCACCTCCGGGGGAACGTTGCTAATCATGAATTTACATAGTTTAGGTCCGCATTTCCCCATGACCTGAAGATACGGCAGACTTCCTTTCATGCGATTCGACATCCTAAAAATATCCGTTTTCAATACACGTTTAGCTTTTAAGCACGTTTCACATAAACAATCTGTCTCTCTTCGGGTAAAATGCTGGTCCTCAGACGCATGTTCTCTGGTGTCAGCTGATGACAATCGATGACTAAATATCCGTAAGGCCTGCTCGTCGCATCGTGAAATGCCTCCAAAAGGTATCCGGTATGTTTGGGAAACATCTGCCTGGCAAGTGTGGAAACACCAAGAGAGTCACATCGATTTCTAAACACGATGAGAACGTGACTATTCAAACTAATCGTTCGAGAACGTTCGCCTGGCGGAAACAAATTCTGAGTTAGGTACAGCACGGACATGCCAAGATGTTGGGAATCACGTGTAAACAAATCCGAGACACGTGGGTCGTTGGAGCATTGCAACATTAAATCGTCTAGCACGACTAATGAGTTATCATGTCCGCGCGTCCAAAACCGGAAGCAGCAAACAAGCATGTGGAAACACAAAACGGCGGGAATCCCACAAACAACAACAAGTCGACAAAAAAACAAAAATCAAAAAGCTATGGGAAAAGACAAGAAAAAAGAAGCAGAACGACAAAGAAAAATAAGACTTGATAAAAAAACAAAAATAAAAAGGTTGGAAGCTTTCTGGGCGTACGCCGAACAAAAAAATCAGACCTTTCTCAACGAATTTCTTGCCTTCTATGAAGGCAATCAAAACCAAAACCAGGAGACACAAGAAACCAGAGAACAAGAAACCCCACAGCAACCGTTGGGACTGTCACTAGCAAGCGATGCGAACCTGGACTTCCTAAATGATC